ACTCTAGTTGAAGACCTTGYTGACTGAGATGGGCATCCAAGCAGATATCCTAGTGAGACTATATTGTGACAATCAAGCAGCCATAAATATTGCCCATAGTCCTATCCAACATGATCATACAAAGCATATTGAGGTGAATAGACACTTTATTAGAGAAAAAGTTGCTAGCGGAGAGATTTGCCTTCATTTTGTAAGGTTGGAAGACCAACTAGCTGATTGGCTCACTAAAGGTGTCTACCATCCAAAGTTTGCTAAGAACCTTGACAAGCTGGGCATGATTGACATATATGCTCAGCTTGAGGGGGAGTGTTGAAAAATGCTTAGATAGAGAGGTGTTTTTGGACTTTTTCTCTTTCCTTGTACTCTTTTTGTATTTGGGCGCCCAAGTCAAAGTATAAAGATATTTTGAGGGTGTGAACAGTAACTAAAACACACCTCTCTTCTTCTTCTTCTCTCCTCTTGCTTTCTCTCTTCTAAACCCTAGTTTTAACTTTTGTTTTGCAACTAAGATGCAACATATATCCCTCAAGAAAGATAGGAAAGACAAAAAGACCAAAAATACCAATACCAGAAATTAAACATTAACTTATTTGTTTCCTATACATTTCAAAGAGAATAGTGATATCACCCAACATGAAAACCTTGATCCAAGCAAGGCTATTTTGGCATTTCTCAAAAAGAGGTAGAAAATTTATGGAATCTCACCTCCTTTGCTGTTTCATGGTCCATCTGAATGGAAGGGAACTTTGAGGATTTTTGAACATAAAGGAAGTGTCAAGACTGCTGGAACAGACAAACAGAAGGCAGTTAAGCAGTTTTACAAGAGGAGGCCACGTCAGCACAACTAACCATCCACTTGTAAGAACTGCCTTGTAACAACTGTAACAATCAAGATTGTAAAACTATAAGTAGTAGAGCAGGAAAGGGAATAGGACATTGATTGTTTCAGTATTAAACTCTCTCTCTCCCTCTCTCTCCCTCTCTCTCTCTCTCTCTCTCTCTCTCTCTCTTTTCCTCTCTCTCCTTCCAAGAATTCAGGAGGTTGGCCCCTCGAAGAGCCCTGAGTTAGGCAGGTTCCTAACAATTTGGTATTAGAGCCAGCATGACCAACACAAGAAACACGTCAGTAGACACCCGAATGGATCAGATGGAGGTAGAGATCCATCGAATATCTTCAGATCTCAAGGAAATGAAGGAAGGCTTCACTGCTCTCCTCCTCCGACTGGAGCAGGGGGCAACGAACATTGACAGAGGAAGCCAAGAAGAGTGCAGTAATGAAAACAGCCGCAGAACAGGGGCGGCAACAAGAATAGCCAAAATCGACTTCCCCATCTTCTCAGGTGGTGACCCAACTCCCTGGATTCTCAGAGCCAAAAGGTATTTCGATTACCATGAAACACCAGGGCAAGATAGGGTAGCTCTGGCTTCTATGCATCTTGAAGGGGAAGCTATCCTCTGGTTTCAATGGTACAGAAGGGGGCACCCTCGTCAAACCTGGGCAGACTTCACGGACGCCATGACTGTCCGTTTTGGATCATCTGGGTTCGAAGATCTTGATGAAAATTTGGCAAARCTGCGGCAGGTGGGATCAGTAAAAGAATACCAGATGGAGTTCAAAAGGCTAGCCGTGAGAGTCCAAGGGTAGACAGAGAAGGCATTGGTGGGAAGCTTCGTCGACGGCCTAAAAGAGGAACTGCAATTGGAAGTGAAAGCGATGCAGCCCACTTCCGTCATCAGTGCGGCAGCACTAGCCAGATTGTATGAGGACAAGTTCAGTCGAGCAAGAAAGGTGCAGCGACCATGGGGTCCCAGAGCATGAAGGGAGAAAGAAAGGACGATAGCACCAGACAAGGAGGAAGGAGTATTGGGCCCAGGCCCACTGGTTCCTTTCAAACGGCTGACCTGGGCAGAGATGCAAGCCCGCAGAGACAAAGGTCTTTGTTACAACTGCGAAGAGAAATTTGGGTCGGGACATTGCTGCAAGAAACAACAAGCATTTCTCTTCCAAACAGATGCCGAAGAGGAAGACGACATCACTGGTGTCAATCCTCATAGACAGTGGCAGCTCTCTTAACTTCATAACTCAAGTCTTGGTGGATAAAATGGGACTTCTGGTTCAACCCACAACGGCCTTTACGGTTCATGTGGCCAATGGTAACAGCCTATCTTGCAATAGCATTTGAATGGGCCTACCACTATAGATTCAAGGTCATCAGTTTGCGGTGGACCTATATCCTCTCCATCTCAGTGGAGCGGACATGGTGCTAGGCATTCAATGGTTAAGATAGCTAGGACCTGTGGTCTGCGACTGGGCCCGTCTCACCATGGACTTCACATCAGGAAACTCTACAGTCCATCTACAAGGGCAAACATGCAAGGGCCCAAGGCCCATTAATCTTGCAACACTGACAAAGCAAAGAGGAGATCCAGATCAGCCCATATTCATGCACATGGACTCAAATTGGACCAGGCCATTCTTAGCTAACAGCAGCCCAGATGGGCCTAGAGACTTCCAAAGCCGCCTACAACTCCTTCAGCACTATGGCAACGTGTTCAAAGAACCCCAAGGACTTCCACCATGCCGGGAGCATGACCACCGCATCCCCCTCATGCCGGGATCAGCCCCGACCAATGTAAGATCCTACCGATACCCTTACTTTCAGAAATCTGAAATTGAGAAGCAAGTTCAAGATATGCTTAAGCAAGGGATAATACAGCCCAGTCACAGCCCATTCTCTTCACCGGTACTATTAGTCAAGAAAAAGGATGGGACGTGGCGGTTTTGTATTGATTA